GTGTGTGTGTGTGTGTGTGTGTGTGTGTGTGTGTGTGTGTGTGTGTGTGCGCGAGAGCGTGTGTGTGTGTGTGTGTGTGTGTGTGTGCGAGCGGCTTCACGCAGGAGGGTGCTCAAGGCCCACAGTGGCCCTATGACTCATCTGTTTTTTTTGCAGGATTTTGCCAGCAGGGGCAGTGGGCAACTGACAGCATAAACAGGAGTGCTCATCACATGCCTGGCCCCGATGAGAAAGCTAGTCGAGCAAAGCGTTTGAGCTAATGTGGCTTTGTGACCTGAGTTTATGGGCCGACAAGTGTCTTTCTCTCCATGTCACTGCGTTGCTCTCTTCTTCTCTCACCCTCCCTTCATTTCCTCATCTCTCAGTCTGATGTTCTCTACTAAATTATTGCACTCCTGGAGGTTTGACTATTTACTAAATGGCATCCGTCACCTGTTACAGAGAGACCATTAGATGCTCCTGATAATAAGATGACAATTTGAACTCAAGGGAATAAAGTGTGCAGAGATTAATAGATAATCTACAGTATATTGAAGGCCTATATTGTATCTAACTGCATGTGATTTTGGCTTTCAGTCATGGGATCCGTCCCAGGTACATTTGTTAAGGTGTTGAATGTCTTAAAATTGGCTTTGAGAAGGCTGTGGAATGTCTGCAATCAGAGTTTGAATCTGTTACAATGAAGGGGAAAAAGCACAACACATCTCATTACATTATCAGTCTGTACTCTTAGAAATGTGAGTCTAACACTGCCGGGGTTTGTGGTTCAGTCCTCAGTAAGGCCATTCATGCTAAATGCATATACAGTCATAATACGCATAAGGCGCTTAGAATAAAAGTACTTTAAGGTTTGAACTCTACCTGTGACTGGCTGCCCTGGCTGACATTGGCATATTCAGAGCACGTTTGGAAATTGTTCATACTATGGGTTGTGCTAGTGATATGACTATGTAATATTTGTGTTATAAATGTCTTAAGGGTTGAGTGTGTAGGATTTAGAGGGATCTACTAGCAGAAATAGAAGATAGTATTTCTAACTGTGTTTTCGTTGGTGTATAATCGGCTCAAACTAAGAATCGTTGTTCTTGTCAGCTTACCGTGAGCACTTTATATCTACATAGGGAGCATGTCCTCCTCACGGGGTCCTCTCTGTTGCCCCACCATGTTCCTACAGTAGCCCAGAACAGACAAACCAAACGCTGGCTCGAGAGAGGCCCCTTGAAGGCCACCGTAGTTCTCTGACTCGCTTGGAAATGGTCGGGGTGAGCAGAAGGGGAATTCAGTTGGTTGTAATCTGCAACCTCTCTGCTAGATGGCACTAAATCCTGCACACTCTTTAAAGGATCAGGCTGATAACATCCTATATTTTGTATTGCCTGTGTGTAGCCATGAAAAGCAGCACCACAGAATTCCTCAACATGATACTGACGGAAAGGTATTGTGTTTGCCAAACAGACCACCATTCGCCCCAAATGATAGAAATGTGTATTAGTCACAATCAAGACTCCCTCCCTCCCTCATTTCCAATTATCCAGTTGCGCAGTGTGAGGGGTGGCTGGCTGCTGTGCCGGTTTGTCTTGGTACAGTAAGTGGATGAGCCGTGCTCAGCAGGCTCACAGAGATTTCCGTATTATCGCAGATGTGCACTGAAAATGCAAATGGTAGTAAAGCTCATCGCTCCGTTTTTTGATTGCACTGCTTGTGGTGTCTGGTGTCACTTTTGTTAAGTTTTATGTATAGATTTAAGGAGCCGAATGGCTTCGGATATTATGGTATTTGTCTGTGGCCATTATCGTCGCCGGCAGGGAGCGTCGTACTGCCTCATTACGCTCCTCTGAGTCTAGTCAGGGCCTTGTCATCAGGAAACGTAACGACCTTTATCGACAGTCTATGCAAATAGTGGAACAATATTCCAACTGAGGAATAATACGACTCCTCACGGTCTGCTTTCCTGCCATTCCTCCAGGTGGCAGCATACAACTCTGAGGGGAAGAGTAACCCCAGCCAGGTGGTCGAGTTCATCACCAACCCCGACAGACCCAGCAGTCCCTGCAGGCCCGTCATCAGAGGAAAAGTCCTGCCCAACAGCTTCAAGATGGCCTGGGGTGAGTCTCTTTCCTACCAATTATCTAAACCTCTCTGCCTTACATGTAGTTTACAATTCCACTCTTCTCATTGAGCTCTGCCTGACTATATATGTGAATCTGCTAGAGGCCGGTGACACCCCACGTAGTCCGTACAGTAGATGACTGACAGTTCTCCCCTTCATTCAGACACCAGCATGAATCCGTCCTACACCTCACTGGACAAACGCAGCGCTCGCTGCTGTACTTGGTCTGCAGCTCCGAAAACATTGTCAAATTTCTCTCCGTTTCCACCAAAATGAGTTTCTGAATAAATGTTTGAGGCTGAAAGAACCTCAGTGTTTGCAAGTCATCTACATTTACATTTCTTAGTTGTAATACTTAATATTTCATGATGAGTTTGGGAAGCTTTAAGAGGCAACGTGTTCCTCTATTAGCTCCCCAAATTTCATAGTTTGTTGATATGCTTCAGCACACATCTTACTGCAATTAATTGATTCCAGATTTCCAGACATGGCATGAGTGAAAACGGACGCTTGCTGGCAAGTGCAGTTTGATAATTTTTGTTTTGCAATTTAGAGCCCCCGAAAGATAACGGTGGAGCAGAAGTCACAAAGTATGTTGTGGAGCTGTCTGAGGGCTTAAGCGGTAAGTTGCTGATAATAAAAATGTTTAAATTGAAGGGAAAATTGTGTTTGGGCATTAAAAAGCATCAGTTCATTTGTCTAATTAAAGATGATTTGCAATGCCTTTGTGTTGCAGGCTTGTCATGGGAGCTGGTGTACTCAGGGCCAGCCGTGGAGCACGTGTGTGAAGGCTTGAAGCCCGGCTGCTCTTACCAGACGCGAGTTTACTGCATGAGCGAGGGGGGGCAGAGCCCGGTGAGTAATTCAGCACACACTCACACACTCACAACTCCTTGTGTTTTGCCACAAGGAGTCTAAGAGTTTGCTGATCAGTTACAATTTTATAGGTAGAAATAAATCCTGCACATGAATTCACCAAGATTATCCTGGAAATTAGAATCTGTGACAACGTATTTTGTTAACTTGACTGAAAAGGATCACTCCATAAACACAAACGACATGTAAACAGACACTCTTGCCTTATTGGCTACTGCGGTCCACAACAACGTAGCTGTACAGTTTAATTTACACTGCTGGGGTGGGCAGCCATGAATCTCACCACATCCCTCGGTTGATCTGATACATTTTACATGAATCACTCTGGATCGGCACTCTATTTCTGGTGAGTTCTAATAGGAAATTGTCATTCAGCCAGTGTCCTATGTTGGGAGATTAGACGATGCTTCCTGGTGTGTAAGAACAAGACAAAGCCCGCTAATCGATTAACCCTCCCTGCATGTGTCAGAGGATGTTTTTCCTTAATTAGTTGAGTTCACAGACGCTCTTCATTAATTTCTTCATCAGCTGTTAGTGCATGCATTTATTCATGATGGGGCTTGTGAAGAACCGTGACTCATGGTGGCGAGATCCTGTCTGTTGGTGCAGCACAATGTGACATAAAACTCACATGTTTGCCTTTTGTCACAGCAAAGTTGTGTCTGGGGGGGGGGGGGGGACGAAGACCTATTTATTCTCTCGCCAGACAATCCGTCTAACTTTATGCGGTGCTCTGCATGCCGGTGTTATTTAAACGCCGCATTAGCATTTCTCTCCGTTCTGGCCTGAAAATGACAATTTGTGCCCACTGTGTTTTGATTGTGTTGGAGAGGAGTGAATTTGTTATTTGCGCTGGGTCTTAATTGGTGTGTTGTCTTCCCTTGCAAGCTGTCGGAGACCCTGCAGGTCCAGACTCCTGCGGTGCCCCCAGGGCCCTGCCAGCCCCCTCGGCTGGTGGGCAAGCCCAAAGCCAGGGAGGTGCAACTGCGCTGGGGTGAGTCATTCTTCTCCAACACAGATCTGTGTGGGATGCATTCTAGCTGCTGTTGATGCATTTGTTTGTCGAGCAAACGACCTCAAAGCAGTGCGCTTTGATGATGCAGTTTGTATTATTTTGCCGTTTGTACATTTGTCTTTGTGTGTGTGTGTGTGTGTGTGTGTGTGTGTGTGTGTGTACGTGTGTGTGTGTACGTGTGTGTGTACGTGTGTGTGTACGTGTGTGTGTACGTGTGTACGTACTGTATTATTCCTTCTTGGAAAGCCCTTTTTTTTTTTTTAAGTATATTGATTTTATAAACGCACACATTTCCTAGGTCCGCCTCATGTAGACGGAGGCAGCCCGGTGTCCTGCTACAGTGTAGAAGTGAGTGGGCCGCAGTCTGAGGAGAGCAGGGAGGTTCACCAGGGTCCAGAGCTGGACTGCTCTGTGGGAGGCTTAATGCCCGGCAAAACCTACAGCTTCCGGCTCAAGGCAGCGAACAAGGCCGGGGTGAGAAAGCCTGTCAGCACTGATCCATCAATAACAGGGGAACTGTGTTTTTCTGCTCCATGCTTTCAACCCTCACTAAATCTGATCTTAAAAAGTCGATTGCGATATGTATTAAACTGTTTTTGTGTGTGGATAGTTTGGACCTCGGTCGGAGCGCTGTGAGGTTACAACCGGCCCCGGGGCCCCTGAGCAGTGCAAGGCTCCTTCCACCACATGCAAATCCCCCAGCTGTGTTGTTGTGAGCTGGGAGGTAGGACTAGCTCCCCTTCCACTGAACACACATGAATTATATAGCTGCATTATGATGAAACTGCATCATCAAGTTAAGTGCTGGTCGCCATTCTCATCGGTGTTTGTCTTCCAGGCCCCGCCTTGCAACGGAGCTCCGGTGACCGAGTTTCGTCTGGAGTGGGGAGCTGCTGAGGGCAGCATGCAGGTGTGCTACAGTGGACCAGGGCTCAGCCACGAAATGAAGGGGCTGCTGCCTGCAACCAACTACTTCTGCAGGATACAGGTGAGCACTAGTAAACACTTTATTTATTTTATGATGCCTAATTTTCATCTGGGGGGGGGGGGGGCTTAGCTGATTGGAGAACATTTGTGAACTTTTTGATGTAATGTTCTTCTCACATCAGTGCAAAGGGATGAGTCAGTTTGAATATATTAAGCAGCTGCGTATCGGATGATGATTACTTTTTTTAGGATCAGCTGTATTGGTTGGCAGAGGTTTAATTCAGTGTGTCCCTGCCGGTTATGATTGGCTAACTAATGCTTGCTAAGAGCTGAATTATCACAGTTTATAATCTTAAATTACAGTTGGTTCACTTGTTACCGTATCATGATGATCGTGCAGCGAGTTAGACCGTGTCTGTATTCTGCTGTAGCACTGAATGCATTTTTAGACTGTGACCAAATGAGCCAGCATTTTAGCAAAAACAGAGACAGACTCTGGCCTCAAAACACTGGCTCTGTCCCTCGGGTCTGGCTCAGGCTGAAATTTCAGACCGTGCTGTACTCGTGCAGACGTTTTTGTGCTCCAAAAAAGGAAGAATGTGGAGACACTGGTGACTTATGGCTTATTATTTCCCCCACTACAGGACAGGTTGTACTCGTACTCGGACCACTCCTAAATATCACACTCTGGTCCAGCTATACAACCAGACTTTCATCATAATCGTGGATTAAAAACCTAAACCTTATGGTCCTAGTTTTTCAAAAGTGTCTTCTTCTTTTTTTCACTTAATGGTTTGGCTAGAGAATAAAAACAATACACTCATTAGGACTATAGACCCATAGCAGTTCTGTTTACATTGGAATGCCACCTTGTGCTCAAACATGTGCACTACACGTGTCCTTCCTTGTCCCAAGTGAGACTAGACGTTGGCTTCATTAGCTGTCTCTTTTGTCTGCAGGCTGTGAATGTGGCCGGCGTGGGGTCCTTCAGCGAGGCGGTGTTGTGCCAGACGCCCTGCTCCGTGCCCGCAGGTGTCAGCAACATCTACGCGCTGAAGGAGTCCGCGCTGCGAAGCTACGAGACCCCGGCAGACGACGCAGATGAAGACGAGGAAGATGAGGACGCCGGTTCCCGGCTGCCGCCGCCGCCTCTCTACTCCCCGTCCACCTGCCTGGGAGTTAGCTGGGACCCGCCGTGCAACCACGGCTCCGAGATCACTTCCTACCTGATCGACCTCGGCGAGCGCCAGCCCGTTGTTGTCGGTCCTGTCACCAAACACGTCATCCAGCATCTGCAGCCCGACACCAGCTACAGGTCGGTGCTTCCTCGTCAAACTCACAGCAGTTACAAAATGTTGCATTACGAATTGATTACACACACACACACACACACACACACACACACACACACACACACACAC